TAACTGAATAATAGAATTAAATTCTCCTTTATACAATTTGTAGCACCTGAAATTATATACAGCATAAAACTGACCGACAGATATCATATCCTAATTCAAAAAGAAAGAAAACATTGGGGAAACTAACACAAAGCACAATGGATTAGAAACTAGAAACAAAATTATACTTAGGTCACTGCACTATTTTTGCACAGGATACAGTCCAAACTACCAAATATTGATAGATGCATGGCGGAGGCAGTTTAAAGTTCAACTATAATAATAAGCATAAACGAAGCGGGGAGCAAAATCCAACCACAGGTTTTTCTTACTTTTCTAAGCCAAGTACAGCAGCTAGATAACCAAAATAAGGCTGAAAAAAAAAAGACAAAAAAATCCATACTTGTGAGAAAAACTTGGATTTCTTCTGATTCAAGTGGGTATTAAATTATTCTGTAAGCACCTGAAAGCACAGGCTTAAAGACTATACAATTGATTCAAATTAGAAACATTTGGAAATGAAAACATCGCTGAAATTCTTCAACCTGCAAAGAAAGAACTAGAAAAAACTAATCCAAAATAAAAAAAAATAATCCCAGAATTACTCTGAGTATTTGAAGAATCTGCTTTTCTCTGCACTCCTTTAGAATCTCATTAATCTTAATTCAGTTCTCACTGTATCAGCTTCCCTCTGATATCTGACTAACCCACAAAAGAAAGTAAGAGCAGCCTCTCCTTCCACCCCGAAGCAGGCTATCCAATTCCAGGCATGCATTACATGCTGCATCCGCAGAGCAGATGATCAAGACGAATACAATGCGGACAAAATCCCTGCTATCCTTTTAACCAGTACGGAAGAGTTGCAATGGGGAACAATGCAATGAGATTTCTCATTCCAAATAGTATCCCACACAGGTGAAAACAGTGGCTCAAACAGATGGCTTGTTTGGGTCCATCAGGGATGATTACACTGGCTCACTGTCCCAGGAAGGCACCGAATTTGGGTCTGGCACTTCCCTCGAGTTAACCACCCCAAGCAAAAAAAGGAATGAGAAACATGGCATATACAAAAGTCATGTCTACACTGCTACATAAAGCAGAGCCAAGGACATGCCACTGAAGTTAAAAAAAAAAAAAAAAAAGTAATCAAAAAAAAGCAGCCCACACCACTTTGGCAAAAGCAGAACTACAGTAACAGGAATTAAATACAAAATGCCAATGTGTAGCAACACATTTTAAAGATCAGTCTTAGCAGATAACTATGGTATCTACTCGTATCTTTTATGAATAACATACTATGAAGAACTTTTTTAGCATTAAATTCCTATTTAAGCTAAACAGGAAAACTTCGAGTTCTTCAGCATTTACCACATCCTTTCATAAACTTCCACAGCTGTTTGCTACCCCAAATTCTAAAAATATAATATTTATAAAACATTTATTTTACATTCTATTATTAAAACAAGAGGTTTAAAAAATAAGCCTATTGAAATTATATTCAGCAATATTATTTTAATACACTTGAGCCCAAACTTATTTAAAAAAAATAAATAGATTAAGTAATTTTAAAACAATAAATGTTTGCTTCTGAAATTACAGAGGAAGTCACTACATTAAACCAAAGGAAGTCAACAAGCTGTTATCTGTGTTTTTTGAAAAACATTCCTCAACTGTCCATCCCTCCCTTCCCTTAAGGTTTTCATTCTTTGGGTACTCTTGCTGTGGGCTGCGTCCAGGACACCATCACGCACAGCTGAATGCAAGTGTTAGCTCATACCGCGAATGCACACAGCTTTGACTTTGTACACCATGTTGTTAATTGTGAGGCTGACATGCAAGAATCTTCTCACTTCTGACATGCCAATTGTTCATCCTCCTACCATAAAACTCCAAAGTTGGAATTCTAAATAAATGGAGATTAAGCTACATACGTGTTTGCATATTCTCATAGTTTTAAAAAAGGGCAAAAGATCATCTATTTACCTATCAATATATTTCATCAATTGCCAATCAAGGGAGAAAAAAAAAAGAAAAAAGAGAAAAAAAAACAACCAAAAACCAAAACCCAAAACAAACTCAAAGAAAAATGCTCTTTGGATAGCTCTTTTTAAAGAGAAAAGAACAAAACAAAATTACTGATTTACGGTCTTATTAAATAACCAGGTATTTATGCTATTCTTCTTTGAGTAAATTCACTAATTTCTTTTTTAGACAGATTTTGTTACAGCTTTACCTGATGATTTTAAATAGCTACTATCACATTATCATCTTCGTTACAGAAATTTTGTAGCTGGACAGAGAATCATAGACTGGTTTGGGTTGGAAGGGACCTTAAAGATCATCTAGTTCCAGCCCCCCTGCCATGGGCAGGGACACCCTCCACTAGACCACGTTGCCCAAAGCCTCATCCAACCTGGCCTTGAACACTTCCAGGGAGGGGGCATCCACAACTTCTCTGGGCAACCTGTTCCAGTGCCTCACCACCCTCACAGTAAAGAATTTCTTCCTTATACCTAATCTAAATCTACCCTTTTTCAGCTTAAGGCCATTACCCTTAATGTCCTATCCCTACATGCCCTTGTAAACAGTCCTTCCCCAGCTTTCCTGTAGGTCCCCTTCAGATACTGGCAGGCTGCTAGAAGGTCTCCCTGGAGCTTTGTCTTCTCCAGGCTGAACAACCCCAACTGTCTCAGCCTGTCCTCATAGGAGAGGTGCTCCAGCCCTCTGATCATCTTCGTGGCCCTCCTCTGGACTCGCTCCAACAGCTCCATGTCTCTCCTGTACTGGGGCCCCCAGAGCTGGACACAGTACTCCAGGTGGGGTCTCACAAGAGCGGAGTAGAGGGGCAGAATCACCTCCCTCAACCTGCTGGTCATGCTTCTTTCAATGCAGGATACGGTTGGTCTTCTAGGCTGCAAGCACTGATTGCTGGCTCATGTTGAGCTTTTCATCCACCAACACCCTCAAGTCCTTCTCTTCAGAGCTGTTCTCAATCCATTCCCCTCGCAGTCTGTAGCTGTGTTTGGGATTGCACCAACCCACGTGCAGGACCTTGCACTTGGCCCTGATGAACTTCATGCAGTTCGCACGGGCCCACCTCTCCAGCCTGTCAAAGTCCCTCTGGATGGCATCCCTTCCCTCCAGCGTGTCGACCACACCACACAGCTTGGTGTTGATGGCAAACTTGCTGAGGGTGCGCACAAATAATCTCTTAACCTCCACTCCAACAAACTAAGCAGGCTGAAATCCTTTACTTTTTGAAAAATGGACGTGTTCAGTTATAACTGCTCTTTCCAAGATACTTCCCAATTTACATAGAAGAAATATCTACGTTCTAAGCACGCTACTACAGGAACAGTCACACTGTGATAACAAGCAGGCGATCTCACCTCTCTGCTCCTGGCATACGTTATTTTGATTTGACTTTTACAGGAACAAGTTAATATACATGAGAAGTCCATCTGAACTATCTACTGAACCAGAAGTAATAGGTCTAAGAGATATGTAATAAAAACTCACTGAATATCAAGGTACTAAAGAAATGAAGCAGCAATTACCTCTGAGAGTGATGCATCAACCTTGGAAGGCACTTTCAGATCCAGCCATGGCTGATAATTTTCCAGAAGCAAAGTAGGTCTGTAGGAGAGCACAGAAAAGTTGATGTAACAATATTTAATTGCATGTTTCCTGCTGTTATGTGCAAAATGTAAGAAATACTAAGCTTACCGGTGCCACGTATTTAATTTACCTGTGCCGCTTGCATTTGACCTTGCCACATACAGCACAACTGTGACCATGGGGAAATAGCTCCGGCAATTCTAATTGCTAAGAGAAGATATTTGGACAAGTTTACCTTCTTCAAAATGATGACTCTCTTCCTATACCAATACATTCGTGAATTCCCTTTTAGAGTATAAAGTTACAGAGAACTAAACAGCATACAGAAAAAGTTGCTCTCCCAGCAGGAAAACAAGATAACAAGGCATGGTATGAAAAACAACTGAACCAAACAGAAAAATTGCTTCCACTAGAACAGAATTTGAGGAGACAGATATCCTTTCACATTTTCAGTCATCTCCCTGTACATCAGTTGGTCTAGTAACAGACCAGCTGGTTTCTCTGCAAAACTTGCCGTATTCATAGCTGTGAATTATTATAACATTTTTAGTCCTATGAAATTCTACAATATACAATTTTAAGTTGGAAAACAGAAATTTCCTTTAGGAATTTTTTTTTCTTTGAAATGCAGTACTGCTTAAAGGAATTTAAGTACAACCAGCAAAGAAGACTTAGCACTGGCTTGCCAAAGGAAGAACATCTTTAGAAAAGAGAAAGCCTCAATAAAAGAGAATACAACTACGTTACTTCTCAACCAGTTGCTACTCAAATGCCAAAAGTGAAAAATCAGTGAAGCCAAAACCAACATCCACGAACACTCCCAACAAGCGGCTTTACAGCCATACATAGAATTGACGGGACTATGCAGAAATCCGTGAAGAACCCAAAGTATTAACCGCCATATATTTGCTACAAAACACCTCTCAGTTGGTCAATATCAGGTGTAGCATGCATAGTACTCCTCAAAGCATCTGGAATTACGCAAAAATTGTTACCCAATATAAATTCTTACTAAATTTAAAGAAAGTACAATAACGTTAACAGATACGTTTACCTTGGGTTTATATTTTATTGTAAAAAGAATATTGGGCAAGAGGGAGTCCGGTCCCAACGAACAGTAGAAGGTGACGACACCGGCCACAAATGACCAGAAGATCATTAAAACGTGAAGATACCTTAGAAATAAACAGGAAGGAAATATTACGAGGTACCAGCGCCGCATCGGGCCCG